AATATGCCTTGACTTTGACACCTGCTTTGTAGAGATTCAACACACCATGAATGTGCAGGTATACCCCATAAAGTGTTCCCTGTCCCAGACAAACGCTTAGCAGATGTTTGTTTGTTGCCACTGTGAGACCCGTGGCGCACGTAGATAATGTTTCCACTCCACAATAACTGTCCATGTGGATTTACGACCTTTCGGGGACAATGTCACGGATGTCTTTGGCTTCGCTCGGGTGTTTTTAGAGCTTCATTGCTCAGCTGGAAGGAATGCGAAACATGAAGTTAGCTTTCGCTGCTCTTGATTTGAGAACAAATGACCATCAGTGGTCAATACAAGAACTTGAGGCTTTCATTTACCAAGACGTTTAACATTGTGGTTGTAACTGCAAACGTATGGAGCTTAACAGTCAAATACTGAACTGACCTGGACTTACAAAATACTTACCACCAGAGGGAACGTGGTACGTGGGGGGAAAAAACCTTGACAATCATGGATTTAAACATGACAAATTCTCAAAGGCAACTACCTAATTTAATGATACCCGAATCCATATTTGAAACGTCATGACCTAGACTGAAATCCTACTTTTGTCTTAAAATGCAAAGCAGGTGCCCCTGCTGGTCTCGGATTCAGTGATCTCATAGTCCCCTGGACTGGTTTTCAGGAACTAATGTTTCCCTATTCCTAAACAGAAATAAGGCATGCACACAGAAGGAGCAGAACAGTTAATTGAGTTAAAGCATGAAGTCAAGAGATACAATTTGTGCAATTAGTTGCATTGTATTCAATTATTTATTTCCGAGGGCCTGATTGATTGATCCGCCTCGTTTTCAGATTGCCCGATACTAAGTCTTCTCAAAATAATAATAATCGACCGGAGGTGTGTTAATTAAATGCTAATATAATCTTATTTGGCTGGATGGAGGGGGAAGGGAGCAAATGGGCAGAGGTTGTTGAGGGGGAGTAGGGGGGTTGATGAATGACAGGACACTGGTCGGGTTAGAGTTCAAGGGGTCAGGATGCAGGAGCTCATGTGCTCGGAGGTCAGAGGGTTAACAGGTAAAGCGCTCGATTGTCGAGAGATGAAAGCCAAAGGCTCGTTTATGGCGGAGGAGAAGAGGAGTATGGCGACGATCGTGAGCAGGGAGAAGGAGGAGGAGGAGGAGCAGGACGGTGGGCGACAAAGAGGAGAGAGAATGATGAGGAGGCGCACAGCTCGGCTTCCTGCTGTGACCCCCCCCTCCTCTTCTTCTTCCTCCTCTTCGTGCCTGTCTATTGTCTGCTGTCACTCTCGTTATCTTTTTATTTGTTTGCGTGGCAAAAGAGTCACACTTTTTACTTTTTCTTGGATGTGTCGGAAATGGCCGAAATGCTCACTCGGCAGAAGAGGCGACAATGCCACCGCCCTAAAAAGGCTTGTCTTTGACCTTGAGGAAGGTCAGACAAACACAATGGCGCAATGCAAAGTCCGGTTTTTGGGACGTAGCATTTTTTGTTTGGGCTGGACGGCAAAAATAAATCAATAAATAAATAATGAAGGTCCCACAATAATTGGACGCATTTGTTTTTAGTTTCTAATCCGAGTTTAAAACCCTCGTTTTTAAATGCTACCTCGAGTTTAAAACACTCATGAAAATAACTAACCCCATTCAAAACCCAAATTCAAAACCCCAAACCGAGTTGAAAATCTGAATTTGAAGCCTAACCCCTGGTCTAAATCCCTAATTGGATCCCATGCTCTCGTTATTTACAAATTTATTCAAAGCTACTGTTTCCCAATCAAGCGTCTGTCCAACATAATGCTAACTAGCATCGTTAGCATTGTAAATAAATGCAAACGCAGGCCACACACACACACACACACACACACACACACACACACACACACACACACACACACACACGATGCGCTGAGAGCGC